AACATAACACATGGAGTATTCCTTTTAATAGCTGCCAAAAACCAATCATAAAATGTGGATTTCCTTCCTTCCTTCCTTCCTTCCTTCCTTCCTTCCTTCCTTCCTTCCTTCCTTCCTTCCTTCCTTCCTTCCTTCCTTCCTTCCTTCCTTCCTTCCTCCCTCCCTTCCTCCCTCCCTTCCTCCCTTCCTCCCTTCCTCCCTTTCCTCCCTGTAGGAAAACGCACTTTTAGAACAGATTTTAAACACCCACACAGGGTAGCTCCCATTACAAGCACCACAGCCCAGGGATCCTGTGCAGGCACCAAAATAAAGCAAATACAGCAAATTTCAGCTGGCATTCCCCTCCGGGGCGCTGCTGCTGCGCAGGATTCGGGCTGTGCAGCCCAGCATTAAACCTGCTCTGTGGCACAGGTCTGTGTGTCCCTGTGTCTGTCTGTCCCTGTGTGTCCATCTGTCCCTGTCTGTCCGTCTGTCCCCGTGTCCGTCTGTCCCTGTGTGTCCGTCTGTCTATCTGTCCCCGTGTCCGTCTGTCCCTGTCTGTCCCTGTCTGTCCCTGTGTGTCCGTCTGTCCCTGTGTCTGCCTGTCCCTGTGTGTCCATCTGTCCTTGTCTGTCCCTGTCTGTCCCTGTCTGTCCCTGTCTGTCCGTCTGTCCCCGTGCCCGGTCCCGCCGTGCGCGCGCCCTGCCCCGTGGGGGCGTGGCCGAGGCGGGCCCTCATGACCACGCCCCCCCCCGAGGGCCCGGCAGGGCGGGGGGCGCTGATTGGCGGCGGCGCGAGGGGGCGGGGCCAGGGCAGCGCCCGCTCCCGGCGCGGCTCCGTCCCTGTGCCCGTCCCTGTCCCTGACCCGGTCCCGCCCCTGTCCCGGTCCTGGCCCCGGTCCCGCCCGGCAGCGGCCCGGGATGGCGGCAGCGGCGGGCGGCGCGGCGGAGAAGCGGCGGATCATGTGCGTGGGGCTGGTGTGCCTGGACATCATCAGCGTGGTGGAGGCTTTCCCGGCCGAGGACTCCGACACCAGGTACCGGCACCGGGGTGCCCGGTGTGCCCGCAGCGGCCCCGTGCCCACGGCAGCTCCCGCCAGGTACCGGCACCGGGGGCTCCGGTGTGCCCGCAGCGGCCCCGTGCCCACGGCAGCTCCCGCCCCGCAGGTGCCTCTCTCAGCGCTGGCAGCGCGGCGGGAACGCCTCCAACTCGTGCACGGTGCTGGCTCTGCTGGGAGCGCCCTGCGCCTTCATGGGCTCGCTGGCCCCCGGGCCCGCCGCTGAGTAAGTGCGGCGCGGGATGTGCGGGGCTCCCGCACCCACGGGGCACCGGCCCGGCCCCGCACGGGCCCCTCGGCGCGGCTCCCGGCCGCCCGCCCGTCCCCCGGCTCCGGTGGCGGCGCTCAGCCCGCTCCCTGTCCCTCTCAGCTTCATCGCGGCGGATTTCCAGCGCCGGGGGGTGGACACGGCACACGTGGCGTGGCAGCCCCGCGGAGAGGTGCCCTGCGCCTGCTGCCTCGTCAACGCCGCCAGCGGCTCCCGCACCATCGTCCTGCACGACACGTAAGGGCGGCGGGGGCAGCGCTGGGCTCTGCCGGCTCCGGGCTCTGCCGGCTCCGGGCTCTGCCGGCCCCGGGCACTGCCAGCCCTGCCCCGAGGGTCCCTCCGCTGCCGGCCGGGGCTGCCGAGGGCCGGATGGGGCGAGTGCCCGTGATCCCGCAGCCCTGTCACGGCCCGTGTCCCCACAGCCCTGTCACCCCCAGTGTCCCCACAGCCCTGCCACAGCCGGTGCCGCTGCCGGGACCGGAGCTGGTATCCCCACATGGAGGTGGGCACTGGGGTGATATCTCCCCCCGGAGGTGACACTGGGGTGATATCCCCACCCAGAGGTGGACACTGGAGGTGATGTCCCCACACGGAGGTGCACACTGGGGTGATATCTCCACCCAGAGGTGACATTGGGGTGATATCCCCAGAAGGAGGTGACACTGGGGTGATGTCCCCACACGGGGCTGGACACTGGGGTGATGTCCCCACACGGAGGTGACACTGGGGGTGATGTCCCCCGCTCCGCAGTGCAGGACAGCCGGCACGGCCCCGCGGGGATAACCCGGCTCCCTCGGCCGTGCCAGGGGGGTCAGGGGCTGCTGGGCACGGCTGACCCCGGTCCCAGCGCGGCCGCAGCTGCGCTGCCCTTCAGTCCAGCTCAGGGCGCCGTCATTAATGATTGACCCGGCGGTGCCGCCTCGGGACCTCTGTCCCGGTGCCCTGGGCCCTCCGCGGCCCCCGGGGCTGCCCTTCGGCCCGGGCACGGCGCAGGCGGAGGGTCCCCATGTCCCCCCGGCCTCCGACCCACAGGAAGATGCCCGACGTGACAGCCCGCGACTTCGAGCGCGTCGACCTCTCCCAGTACCGGTGGATCCACTTCGAGGTGAGCCCGAGGCTCGGGGGGCGCTGGGGGACCCCCGGCGCTGAGGAAAATCCCTGAGCCTGGGGCTGTACCTGAGCCCGGGACCGGAGGGGATCCCTCGGTCCGGGGGACATCCCCAGCGAGGGAGCACCCCCGGGACCGGCGATTCCCCCGGTGATGCCGGAGCCGTGTCCGCAGGCCCGGAACGCGGCGGAGCAGGGCGCGATGCTGGAGCGGCTGGAGCGGTACAACCGGGCGGCGGCGCCGGAGCGGCGGGTCCGGGTCTCGGTGGAGCTGGAGAAGCCGCGGGAGGAGCTGCTGCCGCTGATGGGGCGGGGACAAGTGGTGCGGGGCCGGAGCCGTGGGCAGGATATCCTGTCCTGATTCCCTGTCCCGATCACCTGTCCCGATCGCCTGTCCCAATCACCTGTCCCGATCACCTGTCCCGATCACCTGTCCCTATTACCCACCCTGATCACCTGTCCCCAGTGCCTGTCCCGATCACCTGTCCCGATCTCCTGTCCCCATCCCCTGTCCCGATCCCCTGTCCCGATCCCCTGTCCCAATCACCTGTCCCTATCGCCTGTCCCGATCCCCTGTTCCCATTGCCTGTCCCGATCCCCTATCCCGATCCCCTGTCCCGATCCCCTGTCCCTATCGCCTGTCCCGACCCCCTGTCCCTATCCCCTATCCCGATTCCCTGTCCCTATCCCCTATCCCGATCCCCTGTCCCGATCCCCTGTCCCAATCACCTGTCCCTATCCCCTGTCCCGATCCCCTGTTCCCATTGCCTGTCCCTATCCCCTATCCCGATCCCCTGTCCCGATACCCTGTCCCAATCACCTGTCCCTATCCCCTGTCCCTATCCCCTGTCCCTATCGCCTGTCCCGATCCCCTGTCCCGGGCGAGGCCAAAGGCGTGGCGGGGGCGAGGTCGGACGGGAGCGGTCAGAGCTCCGGGAGTTGGGAGTCCTGCTCCGGGGGAGTCAGGCTCGGGGGGTGCAGGGGGGTGGGGGCTTTGGATCGAGGGGTGCGGGCGGGGCCCGGGAGCTCAGGGGGGCTCAGGCAGGGTCTGGGAGCTCAGGAGGGCTCTGGGATCTCAGGGTGGGCTCAGGGAGTTCAGGAGGAGTCAGGGAGCTCAGGTGGGCTCAGGGAGCTCAAGAGGGGTTCGGGAGCTCAGGAGGGCTCTGGGGACCCCACTAGGGCACAGATCTCACCGCACCTGGCTGGGGGTACCGGGGCTGCCCCTCCCCAGCCCCTTTCCCACAGGTGTTCATCAGCAAGGACCTGGCCCGGCACTTCGGGTACCGATCGGCCCCCGAGGCGCTGCGGGGGCTGCGAGGCCGCATCCAGCCAGGGTAGGGGCGCACCCGAGAGGGGCCGGGGGGCACACGGTGCGCCCCAGACCCACCTCACACTCCCGCAGGGCCACGCTGATCTGCGCCTGGGCTGAGGAGGGCGCGGATGCCTTGGGGCCCGACGGGCAGCTGGTGCACTCGGACGCCTTCCCCCCAGAGACCCTGGTGGACACGCTGGGCGCTGGGGACACCTTCAACGCCGCCGTCATCTTTGCGCTCGCAGAAGGTGGGCACAAACGTGGCACGGCTGCAGCACGGCCAGGGTTCAGTTTGGCACGGCCACAGAACGGCCACGGCTCAGTTTGGCACGGCCGCAGCACAGCCATGGTTCAGTTTGGCACGGCCACGGCTCAGTTTGGCACGGCCAGGGTTCAATTTGGCACGGCCGGGGTTCAATTTGGCACGGCCACTGCTCAGTTTGGCACGGCTGCGGTTCAGTTTGGCACGGCTGTGGTTCAGTTTGGCACGTCTGCGGTTCAGTTTGCCATGGCCAGGTTCAGTTTGGCACGGCCGCGGTTCAGTTTGGCACGGCTGTGGTTCAGTTTGGCACGTCTGCGGTTCAGTTTGCCATGGCCAGGTTCAGTTTGGCACGGCCGTGGTTCAGTTTGGCATGGCTGCAGCTCAGTTTGGCACGGCCATGGCTCAGTTTGGCACGGCTGCAGCTCAGTTTGGCACGGCCATGGCTCAGTTTGGCACGGCTGCAGCTCAGTTTGGCACAGTCAGGGTTCAGTTTGGCACGGCTGCAGCTCAGTTTGGCACTGCCCAGCTCATCCCGGGCCCCATCCGCAGGGAGGAGCCTGCAGGACGCCCTCACCTTCGGCTGCCGGATCGCAGGCAGGAAATGCGGGATCCAGGGCTTCGATGGCATCGTCTGAGCGTGTGCCTGGAGAGCTCTGCAGGGCCCGGGCACAGCGCTGCACCAGCGACGCTGCACCAGCGACACTGCACCAGTGACACTGCACCCAGCAACAGCTCCACTGCACCCAGAACCCCCATTAAAACCCCCCGTGCACCACTGCTGCCTCCCATGTGCCCTGGCTGTGCCCCTCTGTGCCCTGGCTGGGCTCCCACTGCCCCAGGGATGCACTGAGCACAGCCAAGGTCACCAGAGTGCCTCTATTTCTCCATCAATGCGTTACAGAGGAGACCCCGGCCCTCCTTGGCCCCAGCGGCCTGGCCAGGGCCATCCCCCTGCCCCTCTGTGCCCTGAGCAGGGCAGGGAGCACCCGGGGCATTGCAGCCACAGCCCCCCTGCCTACCCCTCGCCATGGTCCCTCCAGGCTGGGGCTGCCTGCTCCTCCTCAGGGCCTTCAGCCTCAGGGGCTTCTTCTTCCTCTGGGGCATCACTACTGGGGGCTCGGGCCCCAGGGATGACTTCTGCCTCCACGGCCTCAGCATTGGGAGATTCCACCTCGAGGGATTCCAGCTTGGGGGCTCCAGCCTCAGGGGCTCCATCCTGGGGGTCTCCAGCCTCAGGGGCTCCAGTCTGAGAGGCTCCATCCTCAGACACTCCATTCTGGGGCTCTCCATCCTTAGGAACTCCAGCCTGGGGCTCTCCATCCCTAGGAACTCCAGTCTGGGGCTCTCCATCCTCAGACACTCCAGTCTGGGGCTCTCCATCCCTAGGAACTCCAGTCTGGGACTCTCCAGCCTCAGGGACTGCCTGTGCTGGGCTTTTCAACGCCAGGTCCTGCCTTGGCCCCTCCGTGCCCTCCTCCGGCACAGCCCCAAGCCCTGCCTGCTGCTCCAGTGGGGGCTGTCCTGGGGGACCCCTGTCCTGGCCAGGCAAGGGCGCCTCGGGGGGCTCCAGCAGCTCGGAGGGATCCAGCAGCCCGTCCCCATTCAGGTCCTGCCTCGCCAGGGCTGTGTCCACCAGCGCAGCCACCTGCAGGGATGGGGATCAGAGTGAGGGCTGGGCCGGGGCTCAGGGGGGCGTGAGGAGCCGTCCCTGGGCACCCACCGTGTCAGGGTCCGGCTGCCCCCCGGCCCGTGCCAGGACCGTGCCGAGCAGCTGCAGCAGCTCCAGCCCGTCCAGGCGCCCGCTCCGGTCGTGGTCGTGGAGCACAAAGAGGTAGAGCAGGGCTGTGGGGCACGGGGGGCTGTGGGGCCGGGCTCCCTGGCCTCCCAGCCCCTCAGCCCCCATCGCACCCCCTGGCCTTACCCTGCTCCCGTGTCATGGCCCGCACGTCCCGCTCCGGGGGCCCCAGGCTCCGCACGGCGCTCCGGAGCAGCCTGGGGGAGCGGGGCTGGGCTGGGGAGCGCGGCAGGGCAGGCTGGGCACCGTCCCTGCCCCCCCGGGCTGTGCCCCCAGCCCCGCGGGCTGTGCCCCCAGCCCCGCGCTCAGCCCCGGGCCGGGGTGGGGGTCCCCAGGGTGGGGATTCACGGCAGGGCAGGGATTCACACCAGGGCAGGAAATCACACTCACGGCAGGGCAGGGATTTACACTCACATCAGGGCAGACACACTCACAGCAGGCACTCACACTCACACTCACAGCAGGGCAGGCACTCACACTCACACTCACACACACCAGGACAGGCACTCACACTCACAGCAGGACAGGCACTCACACTCACACTCACAGCAGGACAGGCACTCACACTCACCCTCACATTCACACTCACACCAGTGCAGGCACTCACACTCACACTCACACCAGAACAGGCACTCACAGCAGCGCAGGCGGCTCCGGGCTCAGCGGGTCGGGATGGGGATCCACGGCTGTGGCCACGGGGGGCTCAGGCCTGGCCGAGAGACAGAGCTTGGTCACCTGTGCCTGGGGCTGCCCACCAGGCCTGGCACCCCCCACCCACGGCCCCCGCAGATCCAGGGGTGCCAGCCCTGCTGTGCAGCTCAGACCGTCGTGCTTGCCCCTCCCGTGGCCACCTTGAGCTCCCCCTGTACCTGTGCCCCTGCAGCCACGGAAGCACCACGGTTCTGCCTTCTCTTAACTGTGTGCTCACCACAGCTCTGCCTTCCTTTAGCTGTGTGCCCCACAGCTCTGCCTTCCCTGTGTCCCTGTGCCCCACAGCTCTGCCTTCCCTGTGTCCCTGTGCCCCCACAGCTCTGCCTTGGCTGTGTCCCCACAGCTCTGCCTTCCCTTGGCCGTGCCCCACAGCTCTGCCTTCCCTGTGCCCCACAGCTCTGCCTTGGCTGTGCCCCACAGCTCTGCCTTCCCTTCCCTGTGCCCCACAGCTCTGCCTTGGCTGTGCCCCACAGCTCTGCCTTCCCTTCCCTGTGCCCCACAGCTCTGCCTTCCCTGTGCCCCACAGCTCTGCCTCCCCTGTGCCCCACAGCTCTGCCTTCCCTGTGCCCCACAGCTCTGCCTTCCCTTCCCTGTGCCCCACAGCTCTGCCTTCCCTGTGCCCCACAGCTCTGCCTCCCCTGTGCCCCACAGCTCTGCCTTCCCTGTGCCCCACTGTTCTGCCTTCCCTGTGCCCCACAGCTCTGCCTCCCCTGTGCCCCACAGCTCTGCCTTCCCTGTGCCCCATAGCTCTGCCTCCCCTGGCTGTGTCCCGGTACCTGTTGGTGCCCGCCCTGGGGGCAGCCCACGCCGCTGGCCCCAGCACCAGGAGCAGGAGCAGGAGCAGCATCACCGGCGCGTTCCTCATCCCGCGACCCCGGGCTGCGGCGGGCGAGAACAGCGGACTCGAGAACAGCGGGCTCGGGGCTGGCGCTGCCGGGGGAACCCGGGAGAGGGGCAGGGGCTGCGGGAGCTCCGGGAGCTGCCCCGGTTCCCGCACGGCGGCGGGGATGCGCTAGCACGGCCGGGAGGGTGCGCGGGGAACGGAGAGCGCGGGGGACCGGCAGGCGCTGCCCAGCCAGCGCGGCCCCCGGTACGCGCTCATCCCGCACAGCCCAGCCCGGTACCGCCGGTGCCCCCGGTACGCGCTCACCCCGCACAGCCCAGCCCGGTACCGCCGGTGCCCCCGGTACGCGCTCACCCCGCACAGCCCAGCCCGGTACCGCCGGTGCCCCCCGGTACGCACCCAGCCCGGTACCCCCGGTACGCACCCCCCGCACAGCCCAGCCCGGTACCGCCGGTGCCCACTCACCCAGCCCCGTTCGCGTGTCGGTGCCGCCCGCCCCGCCCCGGGGCCACGTAGCCGACACGTCCCGGGGCTGCCACCGCGGCCGGGAGCGGCCCCGCCCGGCCCGGCCCTGCCGGGATTCGGCCGCACGCAGGTGCCCCGGGGCAGCGCCGGGATAACCGGGACCTGCCCCTCCAAACGGGCCCGGGACCGGCGGTCACAGCAGGGACGGGGCCAGCCGGTGGGTGAGACCCCCCAAAGACCCCCACGGTACCGGGCAGAGCCGGGTCAGGCGAGCGGCACCGATCCCCGGCGCCGCAGCAGCACCGGGTCGGGCCGTGCCGGTACACACGGTCCCGGGGGCCCCGGGCAGCCAGCCCCCGTGCCACACCGAGGGCACACCCGGCCCGGAGCCGGGGCCCCGGGCAGCCAGCCCCCGTGCCACACCGAGGGCACACCCGGCCCGGATCTCGGTGCCCCCAGCCCCAGGCGCGCTCCCCCAGCACAAACGGACAGCACTGCCTTCATGCTCCAGTTTAATGGCAGCAGCAGGGCAGGGGCCAGCAGGACCCTCCCGTCCCGGGTCAGGAGATGGCCCTGTCCCGGGCCAGCCCTGCCCTGCTGCCTGCACGGTCCCACAGGGACAGAGCCCTGCGTGCCTCCCTGACCCGTGCCCGCTCCCCGAGCGCCAGCGGGGACAGCGGGGCCAGGGCTGGTCCCTCGTGTGCTTCACAGTCTGTGTGGGGTGGCGGGAGGCTGGGGGGTCCCTCCCGGTGCCAGGGGGTCCCTCCAGGGGGCAGGGGGCTACAGGAAGCCCGGGAAGGCGAGCTGCAGCAGCAGGATGGTGGCCACGATGAGCCCGGCACAGAGCAGCAGCAGCAGCCAGACAGGGAGGGAGCCTGTGGGACAGGAGGGGTCAGGGTAGGCTGCAGCCCCCAATGCAGAGGGGTCAGGGCAGGCTGCAGTGCAGTGCAGCCCCCAATGCAGAGGGTCAGGGCAGGCTGCAGCCCCCAATGCAGAGGGGTCAGGGTAGGCTGCAGCCCCCAATGCAGAGGGGTCAGGGCAGGCTGCAGTGCAGTGCAGCCCCCAATGCAGAGGGTCAGGGCAGGCTGCAGCCCCCAATGCAGAGGGGTCAGGGCAGGCTGCAGCCCCCAGTGCAGAGGGGTCAGGGCAGGCTGCAGTGCAGTGCAGCCCCCAATGCAGAGGGTCAGGGCAGGCTGCAGTGCAGTGCAGCCCCCCTGCATGCAGCAGCAGAGGAGCCCCAGGGCAGCCCCAGACGTACGGCGGGTGGGCAGCAGGTGCAGCTTGCAGCGACTGTCCACGGCCACGCTGAGCAGGGCGGCCTCGTGGCCCCCCAGCAGCTCCCGCCCGGGCCGGCTCTCGGGGACGAAGGCCACGTCCGTCACCACGATGCCGTGGGCCTCCTTCACGTAGTACAGCCTCTGGGGGCACACGGGCGGTGAGGGGCTGCGGGGGGCCCCGGGGGCGCCCCCGGCCCCGCCCCACTCACCTGCAGCGAGAAGGCGATGTGGATGGCCACGGAGCCCGTCACCGTGCCCAGCCCCAGGAACGTGCCCGAGTCGCTGCAGGGGGAGGACGGTGAGCGGGGCTGCCACGGCCCCCGGCCCGCACCCACCGGCCCCGGGCTACCTGATGGAGAGGCAGGAGACCACCTCGGAGCCGCAGGGCCGCGTCAGCAGCGGCAGGAAGCTCTTGCCATCCCACTTGGTCAGGTAGCAGGGCGGGGGGCGGCGCTCCCGCTTGTGGGGCACCTGCACGGTGTAGAGCCGCAGGGCCCCGGCACTGCCCTCCACGGCCCCAAACCTGCCACAGGGAGAGGGGCACGGGGGGAATGTGGGGCACGTGGGGTGCAGCCCCTCACCAGCACCACTGTCCCACTCCCCACATGGCCCCAGCCCCTCCACAGCCCCAAACCTGCCACAGGGAGAGGGGCACGGGGGGGATATGGGGTGCAGCCCCTCATCAGCACCACTGTCCCAATCCACACATGGCCCCAGCCCCCTCCACGGCCCCAAACCTGCCACAGGGAGAGGGGCACGGGGGGAATGGGGCACGCGGGGTGCAGCCCCTCACTACCAGCACTGTCCCAATCACACCTGGCCCCAGGCCCCTCCCCATACAGCTGCCAGCAGAGCCCAGGAGACCCCTTCCCACAGACCCAGCAGGAACAGTGACAGGGCAGGGCAGCAGCCAGGGGTGGCCCATTCCCAGCCCCATGGCTCCTCCCCAACCCCTGCCCCATGACCCAGCCCCAGCCCTGATGACCATGGCCCAACCCCACAGCCCCAGCCCCACGCCCCTCCGTGTCCCCCTGCCCACTCCCAGTCCCCCAGCCCTCTGACCTGCCCCCAGCTCTATCTGAGCTGCCCAGCCCTGTCCCCAGCCCTGTCCTCAGCTCCAATACCCCTCCCTGTCCCCAGCCCTGTCCCAGTGCCCAACCCCACCTCTCTGAGCTGCCCCAGCTCTCTCTGAGCTGCCCAGCCCCATCCACAGCCCCAACACCCCTGCCCTGTCCCCCTGCCCAGCCCCACTGCCCAACCCCACCCCTCTGAGCTGCCCCAGCTCTCTCTGAACTGCCCAGCCCCGTCCCCAGCCCCACGCCCCTCCCTGTCCCCCTGCCCAGCCCCACTGCCCAGCCCCACCCCTCTGAGCTGCCCAGCCCCGTGCCCAGCCCTCACCTGCATGCCTGGTAGCGATAGGCCTTGTCAGGGATGCCAGGCAGGTTCTCGTGCCAGCGCAGCCCTGTCACCAGCTGGTCCTGCTGCCACACGCAGCACTGGAAGTCCCTGCCCGCCGTCACCACCTGCTGCACACAGCACAGGGGTCTGAGGCCCCTCTCCTGCGGGCCCAGGGAGCTGGGGAGCCCCTGACACCCACCTTGTTGTCAGGGCCCAGAGCGATGTCCTCAATTTCCCCGTCGTGGGCTCTGAACTCCAACGTCTTCTTCATGCTGGGGAACTGCAGAGGCAGAGCTGGCGTGGGCGCTGGGCAGGGCCAGGCCCCGCCACGGTACCAGGCAGGTGTGGGGAGCAGCGCTAGGTGAGCACAGGTGCTGCCCGCCCGGCCATCCCTGCCCAACGCCTGCTGCCATCAGCACAGCAACGGCGGCCACCGCTCCTCCGGGTCTGTCCCAGCTCCCCCTGCCCAGCCTGGTCCCTGTGCCCACCCTGGCTCCCCATGCCTGGCTTTCAACCACTGTGCCCACATCCATTCCCCTACATCCCCTCAGCTCTGGGTGCCTGTCCTGGCTCCTCATGCCCGGCTTTCAACCCACTGTGCCCACATCCATTCCCCTACATCCCCCAGCTCCCCGTGCCCACCCTGGCTCCCCATGCCTGCCCTTCAATCCTCTGTGCCCACATCCATTCCCCTACATCCCCCAGCTCCCCGTGCCCACCCTGGCTCCCCATGCCTGCCCTTCAATCCTCTGTGCCCACATTCATTCCCCTACATCCCCCCAGCTCCCTGTGCCCACCCGGGCTCCCCATGCCTGCCCTTCAACCCACTGTACCCACATCCATTCCCCTACATCCCCCCACCTTGCCACGTCCTCCCAGCTCCCTGTGCCCACCCTGGCTCAGCACGCTCCCCTCCGGCCTCCTGTGCCCACAGCCCCGCTGCCCAGCCCGTGTCCCCGCGGTGGCAGGCCGTGCCCCAGCCCCGCCGTGCCCACCTCCCAGAGGCGCAGGAAGCCGTCGGCGCCGCCGGTGGCCAGCAGGGCTCCGTCGGCGCTGAAGCGCACGGCCTTCTGCAGCGCGTCGGGGCTGAAGTCGGTGCGCACCCGCTGCAGGCTCTCCACCCGCACCTCGCGGGCCCGGCCCTGCGCGCCCGGGGCCCCGCCGCCGCCGCTGCCGCCCCGCCGCCGCCGCGGGCCCTTGTCCCCGCTGCCTGCGGGGCACGCGGCTGGCACCGGCCCGACGGGGGCTGCCCTCCCCAGAGCGCCCTGCAGCCCCACGGCGTGCCCCACGGCACCCAGGGTCCCCACACCCTGCCCCTCAGCCCCACAGCCCCACACCCTGCCCCACGGCCCCCTGGTTCCCCAGGCCCTGCCCCACGGCACCCAGGGTCCCCACACCCTGCCCCTCAGCCCCACAGCCCCACACCCTGCCCCACGGCCCCCTGGCTCCCCAGGGCACCCAGGGTCCCCACACCCTGCCCCTCAGCCCCACAGCCTGCCCCACAGCCCCATGGCTCCCCAGGCCCTGCCCCACAGCACCCAGGCTCCCCACAGCACCCCAGGCAAGCACAGGAGCAGGTCCATGACAGTGATGGAGGGGTTCAGGGCAATGCCCATCCCTAAGCTACCCCACATACCCCCCCAGCTCCCCACTCTCTGCCCTGCAGCACCCAGGGCAGGCACAGGGTGGGCATGGGAGGTCCACAGCTGTGCCCCAGCCCCACAGCCCCCCACGCTCTGGCCATAGCATCCAGGGATGGGGGGCACAGGGGAGCCCCAGGGCAGTGTCCCATCCCCAAAGCTCACCATGGTACCCAGGGCAAGCACAGAGAAGGTTCAGGACAGGCAGGCAGGGGTTCAAGGCAGCGCCCCATCCCCAAGCTACCCCACAGACCCCACATCCTGCCCCATGGCACCCAAGGGGAGGGGATTCAGGGCAGGCACAGGGGAGGCCCAGGGTGGGCACGGGGTTGTTCACAGAATGCCTTATCTCCACAACACCCTTCATCCCTCCCCACAGCACGCAGGGCAGGCAGGAGGGGAGTCCCGGGCCATCCCCAAGGCACAGCACAGCCCCGGGGCAAGCGCTTCACACGGAGCAGCGCCTCACCGTCCTTGCCGGCCGCGCCCGGGGCCTCGGGCTCCTGCAGGCTGAAGCGCAGGATGTGGCAGCTGTTGTCCTGCCCGGCGGCAATGACGTCCCCGGCCAGCGCCATGGTCATGGTGGCGCGGGTTTCGGTGTCGTGGCAGTGCAGCAGCGAGGCGCTGAGCTGCCCGCCGATCTGCTCCAGCTGCAGGAAGTGCTGCGGGCCGGGAGGAGGCGGCGGGAGCGGCGGTCACGGCCCGGCCGCGGGGGCGGCCCGGGACACCGGCGCCTCCGCCCCGCACACCCGCACCCCTGAGGCCCCGCCGGGTCAGACCCTCAGACACGGCCAGGCCCCTCCGCCCCGCACAGCCCGCAGCCCTCCGGCCCCGCCGGGCCAGACCCGCCCCACAAACCCGGGCCCCGCCGCCCCGCACCTCTGAGGCCCCGCAATGTCAGATCTATCCCCGAGCCCTCCACAACCCGCACCCCGCACCCCTGAGGCCCCGCCGTGGCAGACCGGCCCCCGAGCCTCCCCACAACCCACAGCCCGAACCCCTGAGGCCCCGCCGTGTCAGACGCCCCCACACACCCGGGCCCCTCCGCCCCCTCAGCCCCCGCGCCCCTGTCCCCACAGCCCCGTCCCGCTCCCCGCACCACGCCATTGCGGATGCCGGTCTTGGCGGCGCCGCCGCCGCCGGCGGTGATGGCGAGCGGGCGCCGCGGGTGCAGGCGCACGGTGTAGAGCGGGAACGGCGCCCGGTACAGCTCGGCGGGACGCCGGGGCGCCATGGCACGGACGTGGCGTCAGCGCGCCGTGACGTCACGCGCTGTTGCGTCACGCCCCGGCACCCGACGGGGGTGTGGCTAACCGAGAGGGGGGCGTGGCCATTTGGGCACGTGGGGCGGGGCCAGCGGGGCTGGAGGGGACAGGGACCGGGGGATCCCGGGGGGACAGCGGGAACAGCCCGATGCTACATGGGGGGACACGGACCGGGGGATCCCAGAGGGACAGCGGGGACAGCCCGGGGCTGGGGGGGACAGGGACCGGGGGATCCCGGGGGGACAGCGGGGACAGCCCGGGACTGGGGGGGACACGGACAGGGGGGACAGCGGGGACAGCCTGGGGCTGGGGGGACAGCGACCGGGGGGACAGCGGGGACAGCAACGTGCTGGTGTGGGGACACGGACCGGGAGATCCCGGGGGGACAGCGGGGACAGCCCGGTGCCGGGGGAAATGGCGGCTCCTGGGGCGCAGTGGGACCCCCAAACCTGGGGATACCCCCGTGCTGTGGCCCCATGGGGACCCCAGTGACTGTAAAAACGGGGCTCCTGTGGGGGACGGTGGGATCCCCCCGTGTTTGGGGACACGGCAGCGTCGGGCTGTTCCTCGGCACCCCACAACGCCTGTGCCCCAGAACCATTTATTGGGGAACACCGAACACAAAGACAGGTGCCAGGGCTCGAGGGCACACAGCCCCGGCCCCGGAGCGGTGTGTAAGGCACGCGGCTGGCCCGGGGGCACCACACAACGTCCCGGCCTGCACAGGGCGGGGGGCACCGCTCCGCCCCCCGGCCGTGGTCCCAGAGCCCCGGGCGGGGCTGCCCGGCCCCGTCCCGCCGTTCCTCGGCACCGCGGGCACGTCCGAGGCGGTGCTCCGAGGAGGTGCCAGGACCCCCGGCTGTGCGAGGACGCCCCGGAGGGCAGGGGGCGCCAGGACCCCCGTGCCGGGCTGTCAGAAGGAGGTTTCCTGCACGGCGTAGAGCGGGGCGGCGGCGCTGCGCACGTAGCCCTGTCCCTCGTCTCCTTGCGGCTCGGGGCCGGGGGCGGACAGCCCGTTGGGCACCCCGTGGCTCTTCTCCGAGCTGTCCCCATGGCCGGGGGCCTGTGGGGACACAGGGGGGCACAGGGGGGCAGCAGGGGCAGAGGGGGCATGGGGGACACAGGGAGGCACAGGGGCAGGGGGCACAGCGGAGCACAAGGTACCCCCATGTCCCCCCTTCCCCCGGGGTTCTGGGGGGGGTCTGTCCCTCACCTGGGCAGGGTCGGCCGCCCCGCAGCAAAGCCAGTGGCGGACTTTGGGGGGCAGGCAGCAGAGCAGCCAGGGCAGCACGGGGGAGATGGTGCGGGGGTCCAGGGCCGCGGCCGGCGTGGGGCCTGGGGGTGCAGGGCCGTGAGTGGGGCGGGGGCGCCGGGGCAGCCCCCCAGCCCCCCGCACTCACCGGTGAGCAGGCTGACCAGCACCCCCACCACGATGACGGTGGTGGAGTTGTGGGCGCTGTACCACATGTAGGACAGGCTGTAGAAACGCTGCAGCCCCGTGGGGCTGTGGGACACGGTGTGAGCAGGAGGGGTGGAGCAGCCCCCTGAGACCCTGCACACACCCTACACACCCTGCACACCCAGCAACCCACCTCACACCCACCTGAGACCCTGCACACCCATCTGAGACCCTGCACACCCACCTGAGACCCTGCAACACCCACCTGAGACCCTGCACACCCACCCCACACCCTGCACACCCACCTGAGACCCTGCACACCCAGCAACACACCTCACACCCACCTGAGACCCTGCAACACCCACCTGAGACCCTGCACACCCATCTGAGACCCTGCGCACATCCTACATATCCTGTACACCCACCCTGCACACCCACCCCACACCCCACACACCCTGCACACACCCTGCACACCCACCCCACACCCTGCACACCCATCGGAGACCCTGCACACACCCCACACACCCCGCACACCCAGCACTCACCTCGGGGGCGGTGCTGAGGTGGGGGGCAGCAGCGTGGAGGCCAGCACAGTGCTGAGGTTGCCCACGGTGGGCAGCGCCGTGCCGTTGGCCGGGGGCACCGCGGCGGCCCGCGCCGTGCTCTGCAGGAAGCTGCCGATGCCCACCCAGAAGGCCATGGCCAGCCCGGCCAGCAGCCCCACCACGGCTCCCTGTGACAGGGACAGAGCAGGGCATGGGGAGCCCCACAGCTCCCCACGCGGGCACGCGGGGCCGGGGAGGCTGGCCGGGGGGGATACTCACGGTGGGGTTGGCGCAGGGGAAGAACATGCCCAGGCAGAAGAGCCCCAGGAGCGGGCCCCCCACCATGCCGAAGATGCTGATGGCTGCCTGTGGGGACATGGCCCTCAGCACCGTGCCCTGGGGACCCCGGGGGTCCCTCACCCCTCTGGGGTGCCACAGCCCGTGCCTACCTGCAGCACGGGTCCCAGCATGGAGGACACGTACGCCATGCCCAGGCAGAGCAGCCCATAGCCGAGAGCTGGGGAGGGGAGGGGGCTGTCAGGGCAGTGCTGGGGACTCCCCCAGCACGCCAGCCCCGCGGCTGCCCCCCGGGCACCCCCCATCGCTCACCCAGCAGCTTGGAGAGCAGCGTGGCCCGCGACTCCGAGAGCCCGGGCAGGTGCGGCCGCACCAGGTCCTCCATGGTCACCGTGGCCAGCGAGTTGAAGGCGGAGGAGATGGTGCTGGGGGGGACAGGGAGCAGAGTGGGCTCGGCCGGGACCCCTGAGCACCCCTGAGCACAGCTCAGCCCTGCCCAGGGCCGGCACTCACCTGAGGGCACCGCTGAACAGGCAGGCCACAAAGAGCCCGGGCAGCCCCGGCAGGTCCCGCAGCACGTCCATGACGAAGAACAGCACCAGCTGTGGCAGAGGGGAGGTCAGGGCAGGGCTCGGGGCAGCGGGGGACGCGCGAGGGGCGCTCAGCCCACCTGGTCAGAGGAGGCAGGGCGATGGCCGGGAGCCAGCGGGTGCTCCAGGTCGTACACGAACATGACGAGGCCCGTGAGGCAGCTGAGGCACAGCACGATCTGCTGGCAGGGGAACACGGCGTAGCAGGAGCTGCGGGGCCGTGGGGCCGTCAGACAGGGCACTGGTGGGGCCCATCCCGGCTGGGGGAGCCCGGCCCAGCCCCACTGACAGCTCCGCCCAGCCCCACTCACAGCCCAGCCCCACTCACAGCTCGGCCCAGCCTCACGCTCAGCTCAGCCCAGCCCCACTGACAGCCCAGCCCAGCCCAGCCCAGCCCAGCCCAGCCCTACTCACAGCCTGGCCCAGCTCAGCCCCACTCACACCCAGCCCCACTCACTCACAGCTTGGCCCAGCCCAGCACAGCCCCACTCTCAGCCCAGCCCCACTCACAGCCTGGCCCAGCTCAGCCCCACTGACACCCAGCCCCACTCACACCCAGCCCCACTCACAGCCCGGCACAGCCCCACTCACAGCCCAGCCCCACTCACACCCAGACCCACTCACACCCAGCCCCACTCACAGCCCAGCCCCACTCACACCCAGACCCACTCACACCCAGACCCACTCACACCCAGCCCCACTCACTCACAGCTTGGCCTCGCGCTCGCTGCGGGCACACAGGTAGCGCTGCACCTGCGCCTGGTTCACCCCGTACAGCGACAGCATCATGAAGATCCCGCCCACGGACAGCGACCAGAAGGTGTGCCGCTCCAGGGGGTTGGGGTCGAGGCTGTGGGGAGCACCGGGGGGGTCATGCTGAGGGTCCTCACTGCCTCCCCATACCCCAGGGGAAAGAGGGTAACAGGGGTGGGCGACACCAGCACTGCAGGGTCCCATTCCCCTGCCCAGCTGTCCCAGGTGTCCCAGACCAGCACAGAGGGTCCCTCTAGCCAGCCCAGCTGCCCCAGGTGTCCCAGAGCAGGGCAGGCGGTTGGTTTCCCCCAGCCCAGGGGTCCCAGGTGTCCCCAGAGCAGTCCAGGGGTCCCAGACCAGCCCAGGTGTCCCCATGGCAGCACAGGGCTCCCAGGAGCCAGGGTCCCTCTCCCCAGCCCAGGTGCCCCAGGTGTCCCCAGAGCAGCCCAGGGCTCCCAGAGCAGCCCAGGTGTCCCAGAGCAGCCCAGGGTCCCGGGGATGGCTCACTCGATGCCGGCGATCTTGCCGTGCTGCTCGGCCACGTGCCACACTCGGGCCATGCCCCCCACCCGCCAGGCGCCCACCACGATGACGGCCACCTGCCCCGCCAGCATCACCAGCGTCTGGAACACGTCTGTCCAGATGACGGCCTTGAGGCCACCCTGTGGGGACACAGGAGCCGTCGGCACGGGGTGCAGTGCTCACCTGACACGGCACGGCACAGGGAGCAGGGACTCACCAGTGTGGTGTAGAGGGTGCAGACCAGCCCCATGGTCAGCACGGCGCTCCAGAGGTCAAAGCCCGTCACTGGAGGTGGCAGAGGACATTACTGGGGTGAGGGGTGAGGGGCAGCACCCCCTGGCACGGCCCCACACCTGTCCCCGTCCTACCTGCATTGAGGGCCAGGGCAGGAGCGTAGAGCACCACTCCCATGTAGATGACCTGTGGGGAGGGAGAGCAGTGCTGAGCTGTGCCCAGTGCCCCAGACCCTGCAGCCCCACGGCCCCAGCCCCACAGCCAGCTCCCCAAACCCTGCAGCCCCACGGCCCCGGCCCCACGGCCAGCCCCACAGCCAGCTCCCCAAAACCTGCAGCCCCACAGCCCCAGCCCCACAGCCAGCTCCCCAAACCCTGCAGCCCCACAGCCCCAGCCCCACAGCCAGCTCCCCAAACCCTGCAGCCCCACGGCCCCGGCCCCACAGCCAGCCCCACAGCCAGCTCCCCAGACCCTGCAGCCCCGCGGCCCCGGCTCCACGGCCAGCCTCACAGCCAGCTCCCCAGACCCTGCAGCCCCACGGCCCCGGCCCCACGGCCAGCCCCACAGCCAGCTCCCCAAACCCTGCAGCCCCACGGCCCCGGCCCCACGGCCAGCCCCACAGCCAGCTCCCCAGACCCTGCAGCCCCACGGCCCCAGCCCCACAGCCAGCTCCCCAAACCCTGCAGCCCCACGGCCCCAGCCCCACAGCCAGCTCCCCAAACCCTGCAGCCCCACGGCCCCGGCCCCACGGCCAGCCCCACAGCCAGCTCCCCAGACCCTGCAGCCCCACGGCCCCAGCCCCACAGCCAGCTCCCCAGACCCTGCAGCCCCACGGCCAGCCCCACAGCCAGCTCCCCAGACCCTGCAGCCCCACGGCCCCGGCCCCACGGCCAGCCCCACAGCCAGCTCCCCAGACCCTGCAGCCCCACGGCCCCAGCCCCACAGCCAGCTCCCCAAACCCTGCAGCCCCACGGCCCCGGCCCCACGGCCAGCCCCACAGCCAGCTCCCCAGACCCTGCAGCCCCACGGCCCCAGCCCCACAGCCAGCTCCCCAAACCCTGCAGCCCCACGGCCCCGGCCCCACTCACCATCTGGAAGATGAAGGTGATGGTGCCGAACATCCGCACGGTCTTGTTGAAACGCAGCTCCAGGTACTGCCAGGAGAGAGGTCAGGGCACCTGACTGCAGAGTGCTCTGTGCTCCCGTGTCACCTGCCCTCCCTGTGTCCCCCCTGTGCCCTCCCGTGTCCCCCCTGTGTCCCCCGTGCCCTCCCATGTCCCCCTCGTCCCCTCCCGTGTCCCCCCTGTGTCCCCCCTGTGCCCTCCCATGTCCCCCCCGTCCCCTCCCGTGTCCCCCCTGTGTCCCCCGTGCCCTCCCGTGTCCCTCCCCACCTCGTAGGTGCTGGTGATGCGCAGGCGGTAGAAGACGGGGATGAAGATGTGCGCGGGGATGAGCAGCCCCAGCAGGTAGGAGCAGCCCAGGAACCAGTACTCGGTGCCGAAGCGAAAGATCTCGGCGGGCACGCCCAGGATGGCCACGGCCGACTGGAAGGAGGCGAGCAGGGACAGGGCCACGGGCAGGCAGCCCATGTCACGGTTGGCCAGCAGGAACTCCTGCACCGTGCGCTGCCGGTCGCCGCTCAGCGCGTAGAAGAGCCCGATGGCGGAGGAGAGCACGAGGAGCAGCGCGAAGATGCTGTAGTCGATGGCCGTGAACTCCATGCCGAGCGCGTCCCCGCCGCGTCCCCGCCGTGTCCCGCCGCCGTCCCGCCGGCCGCATGGGCGCCCCGGAGCCCGCAGCGCGTCCCGAGCGGCACCGGCGCGGCGCTGCCAGCTGCGGGAGCGCCGTGTCAGGGCTGCGGGAGCTTGGCTCGCTCTGCTGAGCCCCAGGGAGCCGGAGCGGGGAAAACGCCCGTCCCTCTTCCTCCTCCTCCTCCTCCTCCCTCTGGGCCGGGCTCGTCCCCCCGGGCCACCCCACCTGCCCCGCCGAAGGAAACTGGAGAGCCTTCAAAGAGCGCCGAGACAATGGCTGCACAAACAGTCCCACCCGGACCCCCGCAGCACCGGCACCGCCGGTCCCGGCGGAACGCGCCAAGCCCAGCACGGCCGCCTACGGTGCGGGACGGCCCCGGTGCCAGCGAGCCAAAGGCAACAGGACCACCCCCGGAGCCGAACGGCCCGGAGCCCGCAGCGCCGCTCCCAGCGAGCCAAACCCAGCCCGGCCCCACCACCGAGCCCTGCACGGCCCCGCCAAAGCCGGCAGCACCGGTCCCACCGGCAGCCCAGGAACCCAGCCCGACCGCTCCAGCAGGGCCCCGGCAGAGCTGCCCCGGCACAGAGCGACGGGCAGGGGGCGGCTGGCACGGACAGACGGACAGGGGGCGGCTGGCATGGACAGACGGACAGGGGGCGGCTGGCACGGACAGACGGACAGGGGACGGCTGGCACGGACAGACAGACGGACAGGGGGCGGCTGGCACAGACAGACAGGGGGCGGCTGGCACGGACAGACGGACAGGGGGCAGCTGGCAGCCTCAGGGCAGCAGCCAGGTGGGGCAGACACCTGAGCATCCACCCTGAGCCCTCTGACAGGGATCCAGCCCCCAGAGCTGCTCTGATCCCGGCCTGGCTCCTGAGGAACAGGAGGGGACGGCCGGGCACTGCTGTCCCTGCCTGCCCCCGCACCGAGAGGGCACCCAGAGGGCACCTGGGAGCAGCAGGTGCCACAGGGCTGTGGCGGGATACCCCCTGTCCTGCCCCGGGGGGGGGTGCAGGCTGAGGGGACCCTCTGTCCCAGCAGGGCAGCCTCGGGGGCACACGGAGGACAAGTCTGGAGCGGGGGCGGCAGCCAGCGAGTGGCACGGTGCCCACCGTGTGCCACGGTGATCCCCGCAGGAATGCTCGCCTGGGGAACGCTTGGTGGGATTAGGCTGAGCCCCTCCCGGCAGCCCTGGCACAGCCTGCCCGGGCCTGCCCGCCCCACGGGGCCGGGGGCAGCGGCGCTGGCACGGCGCTGGCACAGCGCTGGCACGGGGCTCCGAGCGCCAGCAGTGCCAGGGCGGGGAATGGGGTGAGAGGGCAGCGCCTGTGCCGCCCCAGCCCCGGCTGTCCCTGACCGGGACCGGCGCCGCGTGCGGCAGCGCATGGCCGGGGTCCAAGGTCGCTCCCCGCGTTCCCCGCGCAGACCAAACACGGGCGGGAGGGCACGGCACGGCCCAGCCCAAGGCTCCGGTGCCCCACAGAGCCCTCGGTGCCGCCCGCAGCCCCGGTGTCCCCACACCCCGTCCGTGGTGACCCCCAGCCCTGCTGCCCCTCACCCAGAGCGTGCCCCACAAACGCAGCAGTGCCAGCCCAGGCTCTCCCGGCCCCAGGGTGTCCCCAGGGTGTCCCCAGGGTGAGCCCGCTGCCCTGTCCCTGCCGTGCCCAGCCCGCCTGCCCCGCTCCCCACGCTCCATCACAGCCTCCCTGTCACCCCGTGCCACCTGCGCTGTCCCCGGGGCCCTCATCCCGGGGCTCTCTGGGGCTCTCCTCGCCCTTCCCGGTGTCCCCGGTGTCCGCGGTGTCCCTAACACGGGGCTCCGCTCCCCGTCCCCGCTGTCCCCATCCCGGGGCTGTGCTCCCCCTCTCCGGTGTGCCCGGTGGCCGCAGCCGGGAGGTCCGCTCCTCGCCTCCAGCGCTCCCAACCCGGGGCTCCTCTCTCCATCCCCGGTGTCCCCATCCCGGGGTTCTCCTCCCCGTCCCCATCCCGGGAGCCCCGGTCCCCGCCGCCCGTAGAGCGCCCGGTGCCGGTGGCGGGAGGCGGCGGTGACCTTGTCCCGGCGGCCCCGGTGCGACACTCACCGGCGGCGGCAGCACTGTCCACATGTGCCGCCGCAGCCGGGGCGCGCCGGGATGACGCCGGGGCAGGCGGGGCCGCTCCCGCCGCCGCTTCCGCCGCCGCTGACGGCATCGCCGCGGGCCCGCGGGGCTCCGCTCCGCTCCCGGTCCCCATCCCCATCCCGGCCCCATCCCCGCCCCCGGGCGGTCACCGCGCCCCGGTGCCCGCGCTGCCGGCGCCTGGCTCGGTTCCAGAGGGCGCCCGGGCCGTGCCGGCGGGGGGGGAACGGGCACGGAGCCGCCGCCGCCCGCTCGGGGTGCCCGGTGCGCGGGGATGCGCGGGGCCGTGCGCGGGGTCCCGCTGCTGCTGCTGCCGCTGCTGCTGCTGCTGCCCCGGGCCGCCCGCGGGGCCGCGGTGAGCACCGGGAGCGGGGCCACGGAAACCGGGGAGGGCCGGAAACGGGGGCTCCGGTGGGCACAGGGTGTCACGGATCAGGGGTGCCCCGGGGTCAGTAATGGGGGGCTCCGGTGGGCACAGGGTGTCGCGGATCAGGGGTGCCCCGGGGTCAGGGAGTGCCCGGTTCGGGAGGTCCCGGGGGAACCGAGGGTCGGTGAGTCCCCGGTCGGGGCTGTCCTGAGGCCGGGGATGCCCGGTTTGGAGGTGCCTGGTTTGGAGGTGCCCGGCCGTCGGGGAAGCCGTGGGTCCCTGTAAGGCCGGGGTGGTTCTCCTTCTCCGGGGAGCGCCGGTACCGGGGGTCGGGTCACGCCCGGGGGCGGGATGCTCGGGACCCTGGGGGTAGTGCCTGTGCCCCCTGGACCCGGGGATGCTGCCCGTACCCCCTCGATCCAGGGGATGTTCCCCATGTCCCCTGGACCTCCCCAGGTGTGCGGGCTCTGCCCGGGGCCGCCGCGGAACGGCTCCCTCGTGTCCCGGTTCTGTGAGTCCCGGCCGGACACCGAGAGCGACGGGCGCTGCTGCCGGGAGCGGGGCCCGGCCCCGGGGCGGCTGCTGGGGTACGGGGGCCCGGGGAGGGCGGGGACGCACAGGCCGGGGGGATCCGGGTGCTGGGGGGTCGGGGGCTGCACGGAGGGGGATGGAGAGTGCCGGGATGGGTCTGGGGCTCGCAGCGGTGCCAGGGCAGTGGCGGGGCTGGGCGATGCCCGGGTGGGGCATCCTGCGCGGTGGTGCGGGGCTGAGATGGTGCTGGGGGTCACAGGGGCCTCAGGGGAGCTGTGGGGGACAGGCACTGCTGCCGTGTCCCCAAGCACTGCCCCTTCCCAGGCTGGACCTGAGCAACTGCTCCCTGCAGAGCGTTCCCCCAGGACTGGCCGAGGCCGCCGCTGCCATCGTCCTGTGAGTTCCTCCTGCCCTGCGAGGAGCTGGGCCGGGCTGGCACAGAGCATGGGGCAGGTTTGGTGGGACATTCCCTGGGCCCAGCACAGGGGCTGGGGAGGTTTGGTGGCACATTGCTGTGGGCCCAGCCCAGCACAGGGGCTGGGGCAGGTTTGGTGATGGGACATTCCCTGGGCCCAGCACAGAGCATGGGGCAGGTTGGGGGGACATTCCCTGGGCCCAGCCCAGCACAGCCCAGGGGTTGGGGCAGGTTTGGTGGTGGGACATTGCTGTGGGCCCAGCACAGGGCTTGGGAAGGTTTGGTGGGACATTCCCTGGGCCCAGCACAGGGCTTGGGAAGGTTTGGTGGGACATTCCCTGGGCCCACCACAGCAAAGGGGCTGGGGCAGGTTTGGTGGGACATTCCCTGGGCCCAGCACAGAGCATGGGGCAGGTTTGGTGGTGGGACATTCCCGTGAGCCCGTGCTGGCACGTTGGGTGAGCCACATGGTCACGCCTTGGCTTTTGCCGCAGTGCCACGGTGTCCTTATGCCCGGGCTGGGGAGACAGCAGTCAGGGAGCTGCCACGCCCAGGGCTCCGTGTCCAGATGAGCCCAGCGAGCCGTGCTGTCCCTCAGGGCACCGTGACACCTCGGCTGGCAGGGTATTTGTTAATGACCAAGCACCGTGACACCTCGGCTCCTCAATGTTTTTGTTAATGACCAAGCACCGTGACACCTCGGCTTATCAGCGATTTGGTCAATGACCAAGCGCTCCCTCAGCAGCTCTGCAGGGACCTTTGAGCCCTGTGGGGCTGCAGGGCTGCACTCCCAGGGCCTGGGGCGGGCAGGGGGTGCTGGGGGCATGGGCACCGCCTGAGTTCGGTGCGGTGCCAGGGGCACTGTGGTACAGGATGGCACTGAGGCTCCGTGTGCTCGCAGGGACCTGACTGAGAACCCGCTGACAGCCGTCCCCAGTGCTCCCTTCAGGGGCTTCACCCAGCTGCAGAGCCTGTGAGTGCTGGGGGAGCGGGGCTGGGGGGCACCACGGTGCCCGTGCTGAGCTGTGCCCGTGCTGGGCTGTGCCCGTGCTGCACTGTGCCCACACTGAGCTGTGCCCACAGCATGGTACCACCAGCGCTGGAGTGCCCGGGTGGGAGTGACGCCTGGCAGGACGTGACAGTGGACAGGAGCAGCCGACTGTGCCAGGGACAGAGGAACCCCTGCAACAGCTCTGAGCAGCTCGGTGCGGTGTGGGGCTGGCACTGGGTGTGTGGGGCTGGCACTGGGCGTGCGGGGCTGGCACTGGGTGTGCGGGGCTGGCACTGGGCCCTGGCATTGGCCCTGACCCCTTGCTCTGCTCTGCCAGCCTGGCCATGTCCTGAAAATTCCGTGTGTGCCCCCGACGGCCCCGGCCTCGTCCAGTGCCTCTGTGAGGGTCCCTTCCATGGCTACAGGTGCCTGCGAGAGGTGAGCGCTGTGCCCCTGCCCCTGGCAGTGTGAGGTGGGTGCTGTGGCACTGCCCTGGCTGTGTGAGTGCTGTGCCCCTGCCCTGCCCCTGGCTGTGTGAGTGCTGTGGCACTGCCCTGGCTGTGTGAGGTGGGTGCTGTGCCCCTGCCCTGCCCCTGGCAATGTGAGGTGGGTGCTGTGCCCCTGCCCTGCCCCTGGCAGTGTGAGGTGGGTGCTGTGGCACTGCCCTGGCTGTGTGAGTGCTGTGCCCCTGCCCTGCCCCTGGCTGTGTGAGTGCTGTGGCACTGCCCTGGCTGTGTGAGGTGGGTGCTGTGGCACTGCCCCTGGCCCTGGCTGGGCCCTGCCACTCCTGGTGCTCACTCCTGTCCTGGCAGGGCGCGTTCCCGACGCTTCTCTTCGGAGGAATCCTGGGCACCGCCACCGTGTCGCTGTCGCTGCTGCTGTGGGGCACGCAGCGGAGGAAGGCCAAGAGCCCCTGAGCGGGGCAGGGCGCCGTGCCCAGGCTGGAGGCTCTGGGCACCAATAAAGCTGCAGGTCCTCGCCGTGTGTCCGTCTGCTTCCTTCCCAGGAAAATGGGTGTGGGGTGAAACCCACGGGAGGGGTACCGTGCAAATTCCCATTGCTGTAGATACAGATTATAATGTTGGCTTTCCGCAAATATTAAAATGGGTTTGTATGGGCAGTGTTAAAGTAACTTTGTGACATAGTTTTTACTTCTGTTAATAATTAAGCTTAGACATAGTAGTGCAATAGCTGACATCAGTGTGGTTGTGTTAAAACGCCTGCTGGGATGGGATAACATCCGATGAACGCAGGATGAGCACACCTGATACAGATCTGCCAACCATCGGCACTCACCGTCTGAGGACACCATGGACCGAAGCCCAGACTGAAGGAGATAAGAAGGAGCCAAAAGCATAGCCAAGAAACACGCGCTCTAGAAAGGCAGATCAAAGGAGGGCATGTAAAATAGTTCCTGGAAAATGGAAACTCGTTTATGTATATGCGTAAGGGCTATGAATATGCAACAGGCTGATGTCATTAAAAGGTATTTCAGGGGTATCCCGGAGATAAGAGGGTGCTCTTGGCTGAGTGCAACAATGCCCCTGGCTGTATTAACCTTTGCTCCATGGTCCTGGTCTCCCATTGTCCTTCATGAAACCTGTAAAATTTTCATAGGAGAGTGAACGTGTGTTTGACAGCATCCTCCCCACGCTGGCTGCGCGCTCGGGGCTCGGGCCAGAACGGGGGGGGAGCGGGAGGAGCGTCCGCACCGGGAGGCGCCGGCTACGGCCGTGGGGAACGGGGGATGACCGGGAGCTGGATGGGCTCCAAGAGCCAGCAAGGCAAGGACTTCAGCGGCTGGAACACACACTATTAATTAATAGGTTGAATCTATTGTTAACCGTAATGATCAGGGGAGAGCGCGAACGCAGTCCCCCACTACCACAAATTATGCAGTCGAGTTTCCCGCATTTGGGGAAATCGCAGGGGTCAGCACACCCGGAGTGCAAGGGATGAGCCTCGCCCTGGGAAAACCACCTGCCTGATCATGGTGTCTCCCCTGCCAGGTAAGTATGCCCGACCCCCCCCGCCGCCCGCCTGCCCCGCCCGCCGCCCGCCCGCCCAGCACACGCCCGCCCCGGCCCGGCCCCGGCCCCGCCCGGCCCTGCCGCGCTGCGGCCCGGCCCGCACGGCCCGGCACGGCCCGGCCCGCGCCGAGCCCGCGGACGCGCCGGGACAGCGCGGGCTTGGCGCGGGACCGGGCCCGGCATGCCGCGCGGCAGGACAAATCTACATGGACGCGCCCACAACTCCCCGCTGGCCCCGCCCCCTGCGGCCCGGCCCCGCCGGGAGCCCCGAGAGCCGCGGAGCCGCTGCCCCGGGCCGGGCCGGTTTGGGCCGCGCTCCGCTCCCGCCGCTGCCGGGGCTCGGGCCGCCTCTCCCGCTGCCGGAGCTCCCTCTCCCCGGCACTGCCCGGTGCTGCCGCGCCCCTCCCGGTGCCCCCGCTCCGCTCGGCCCGCTCCTCCCGGGGCTCTCTGCTCCCTCGGGCACGATCGGCCGGGCCAGCGGCGTTCGGGGTGCGAAAAATGCGGAGTTTATGGTTGGCTTTTCGCAAATATACCAATGAATGTTACATGTGTTATGGTAGAAAGTTATGCTGTATTGATTCTCTTAAGTAGTGTGTTAAATCTAGCTTCAGGTTATAACATAATGTTAAAATAGAAACTATGCTATGTAAGATACTTTTTTAAAAGAAAGGACTCGCAGCGAGATAGCAGCCACAGGACACCTGAATCTTTCAGAGTGAAAGAATTTATTGCTCCATTATCAGGAGAAACGAACTTCCTGCCTCACTCAGCCCTGGAGATGCAGTCGGGATTCAGAGGAAGAAGCTGACACTGCCCAGACAGAATCCTGTGTTTGAATGGAATTTATGCACCATGTAGGAGATGTATGAATATGCAACAGGTTATTGTTTTTAAGGGTTAGTCCTCTGTTAATGTGGGGCCTTTTTCGGGCTTGTGCTGCCCAGAAAAGGTACCTGGACATCCGTAACTCTTTGTGTTTGTTGTCTCATATTGTCCTAATTCAAATTGTCCAAATTATTATTACTCTACTTGTATTGCTATTTTCATAACCATTTTATTACTATTAAACTTTTAAAATTCTAAAAACAAGCAATTGGCATTTTTGTCACCAGCAAACCCAATATTTTATTTATAAAAGCAAATCTCTTTTTCCATCCATCGATGAGCGCAATCCTCCTCAGCGTTTCCTTTATCCCCGGTGCTGTTTTAGCTGCCAGCAGCCCCAGGTTTGTTTACACAGCCAAACCCACCGTGCCCTCAGGGCCATCGCTGCTCTGGCTCTGAGCTCCCGCGCCCTGCCCCGTCCATCCCTGGGGGGATTGGGGGTAAATTGGGGCTGGCAGTGCCCCAAACTGCACCAAAGAGCCTTTCCAGGGGTAAATTGGGGCTGGCAGTGCCCCAAACTGCACCAAAGAGCCTTTCCAGGGGTAAATTGGGGCTGGCAGTGCCGCAAACTGCACCAAAGAGCCTTTCCAGGGGTAAATTGGGGCTGGCAATGCCCCAGACTGCACCAAAGAGCCTTTCCAGGGGTAAACTGGGGGTAAATTGGGGCTGGCAATGCCCCAGACTGCACCAAAGAGCCTTTCCACCCTGCCAGGCTGTGGGTACCCAGGGAATCCCTCTGCAGGGCTCCAGACCCTGCCCGGGGGGCTCAGGGACCCTGGCACAGAGCCCCTGACCCCTGGGCCTTTGATTGAGCCCTTGGAAAAACAATCACCAACCTTCACAGGGAGGATTACAAGCCACGACAGGTTGGGGAGAATGACAGTGAATTTATCACAGGGTGAAAAATAGATTTTGGGGTTTTAGAATGGGGGTTCAGGGGGCAAGATGGAGGAATCTGGACATGTCCTGTCCTTTCTCCTTCTTCTTCTTCTTCTTGGCCAAAGGGTCCCCAAAGCCCAAACCAGAGCTGTGAGGGCACCCAAATGTGGGAATGGGCTCTCTGTTGAGGGAGGGATTAAATCATTCTGTGTCTGTTTAAAAAGGCAAAAAGCCCAGAAGTTTCTCTCCCCACTTTGGTAAACAGACACCTCACAGGAACTTTAAGATCGCACCTCAAACCTAAGGTTATCTAATTAGACACAGGCTAAAAAATTTCAAGTAACTCCCTAGAGAAAGAAGAGAACAAAGGAAATAATTGCTTTTGTGGGGTGTTTTAGTAGGAGTAAGAGCCTCTTGCCCCTGGCTCGGTTTTTCTCTATAAGAGCTTTGTTATTTTGCCCTTTATTAAAACTTTCCCTGTTTCCAACAGTACCTCAGAAGCCATCCTGCTGATTTTATGCCATTCGGGGTAGCTGAGCTATCTCAAGTGCAATAAGTTATCCGGGAGCTCCTGAGACCTCGCTCAAAGAGAAATCCGAAAACTTCCCTGGGTGAATGGGCAGAGCTGCACTTTCCATCCATTTCCAGGGGAATGTGCAAACAGAGTCCTTTGGGAAAGTTAATTGTGCATTTACTTTGGGAAAGTTAATTGTGCATTTACTTTGGAAAGGTTAATTGTGCATTTTGCACAGCAAACCCTGCCCCAGCAGTGGCAAAGGGCACTCGGGCACGTGGGGAAAGCGATGGGGTCATTTTGTGTTCCAAGTCCTGAATGCCATGGGATGTCCGAGGGATTTCCTGCCCTGAGGATTTCCTGCCCCGAGAGATTTCCTTCTCTGAGGATTTCCTGCCCCGAGGGATTTCCTGCCCTGAGGATTTCCTTATCTGAGGATTTCCTGCCCTGAGGATTTCCTCCCGCTGCAGGAACAACACCAATGCCCTGTTACTCCACGGTCCCTCACAGCCAGCAACTACAGACCAGGATATTCCAGTGCCCACTATAAAATCCAGGGCTCCATTCCCGGCTCGAGCGGCCCCAAAGGGTTCAGGGAGACAGGAGCTGCCTGTGGCTCCCTCCGGCCCAGCCCAGCTCCTTCCTCTCCTGCTCTTCCCTCATGTCCGTGCCCAGCCCGTCCTGCCTGCAGCTCCCACTGTGATATTTGGGAGGTGTCAATGCCAGCCCAGGAACTGCCCCTGCTCAGGGCTCGCCTTCTGCCTGTGTGTTGCCCTAGCACAGATTTGGGAATTTCTGTCCCCAGCACAGATTTGGTAATTTCTGCCCCTGGCACAGATTTGGTCATTCCTGCCCTGGCACAGATTTGGGCATTGCTGCCCCTGGCACAGATTTGGTAATTTCTGCCCCTGGCACAGATTTGGTCATTCCTGTCCTGGCACAGATTTGGGCATTGCTGCCCCTGGCACAGATTTGGTCATTCCTGTCCTGGCACAGATTTGGGCATTGCTGCCCCTGGCACAGATTTGGTCATTTCTGTCCCGGCACAGATTTGGTCATTTTTCGTGTCTCTTCTCCTCCCCTGGCGCTCCCTCCCGTGTCCTGGGCACCCCCTGGGCACTGCCCATCCTCTGTGCCCCCCGTGTCCTTCCCGGAGATCCCATCCCAGAGCGGGCACCGAGTGCGAGCAGCGCCAAGTGAGAGAGACAGCGCCGTGTGAGAGAGACAGCGCCGTCAGAGAGAGACAGCGCCGCGCCTGCTGCCCGTGCCGGGTCTAGGGCCGTTTGGGGACTGGATCCGTTCGGGATCTGGCTCCGTTCCGGGTCCGGTTCCGTTCGAGAGGGCCCGGACGGCGGCCGCTCCGCCGCGCCGCCAGGGGCGCTAAAACGAGAGCGCAGCCAAAGCCGTGGTTTGAGGAGAGGGCGTGGCCATGCAAATCGCAGCGGGGCACAAGGCGAGGCAATGCAGTGGGGAGTTGTGGGCGTGTCCATGTAGATTTGTCCTGCCGCGCGGCATGCCGGGCCCGATCCCGCGCCAAGCCCGCGCTGTTCCGGCGCGTCCGCGGGCTCGGCGCGGGCCGGGCCGTGCCGGGCCGTGCGGGCCGGGCCGCAGCGCGGCAGGGCCGGGCGGGGCCGGGGCCGGGCCGGGGCGGGCGTGTGCTGGGCGGGCGTGCG